AATGTTTCCACATCACAGATACATTTCTTATGCAGCCATCATTATAAAATGCACCGTCATAATATAACGAAGTCATAAACTAACATTCAGTGTGGGAAACGATGTAGTAACTTCCTAGTCAGGCATTATTTACTTCAAATTAACAAACACTTTTTGTAACAAATTCAAATGCAGATGCTTTAGCCATTTAGCTTACCCCTTTTTTCTCCTTTTTTCTTTCAAAGTCACCCAAAAAGATACAACTTGGATAGAATAACAGATCAGGCCGTTTTCAAGCACCCTGCAGGACTACTATTTCCAAACAAGGAAAACAATACATCCCATGCCATAAACCTCAAACCACATGACTTCTGAGAAAACAATGCACATTACCAGCCTGGATATATAACATCTGAAACTTCCTTGATATATATACCTCCCCATGGTCCATAGTCTAGGCCCTCACACGGATACAAAGTCCATAAAAAATATCCCAAATTCTTTACCATCATTCTGGAAATATCTAACAGCACCTGTATCAAATTCCTTAATACCTAGTATTCAGCATAACATGACTTCATCTCACACCCTAAAAAATGTGATCCTTCGTATGAAATGCTCTGCCTGACTAGTGCCGAAATCGACTTCCTGGTCAAACTGTGTAGTCATTTATATAGCACCAAATGTTACATGTTAACCTGGAGAGATGATCACATATATACAGCGTACAGTACACCGTGCCATATACATTATGGTACAACATTGTATCTGGGAGGCCCTCTGTGGCCAAATTTCCAAGGCAACAATCAATATATATCCAGACTTATTAGGCTCTCCACTAGAGTTAATGTTGTTGAATCTAAAGCCTTGGTGTACTGTGTTAGAGTACTGCAATGATGCTGTGTACTCTATGGACATATGTTATACTGACACATACAAACATAATGGTTACATGAAACACAGTATATGTGCGAAAATTCTCTCTCTCTTTCTTTCTCTCTCTCTCTCTCTCTCTCTTTCTCTCTCTCTCACTCACACACACACACACACACACACACACACACACACACACACACACACACACTAACACATTCACGCAGGTGTACAAAATTTACACTCTCCCCTGGCCTTAAAAGGCATGATAAAAACTTTCAAAAGCAGACCATTAAATGTGGATAAAAATACTCCCTAAGCAAATAAATAATTCTAAGAACCCTGGCTTTCCGTGTTACCTTTGATGTGTGTACTTCACAACATGCACCCAGATCTAAACGAAACTAACAGAAGCTACTTACTTCTTGTGTATCTCTTCCTGCAAATAGCTTTAAACTCAGTATGTATAGTAAAGGTACCTGGCTATAATCAACACTCTCCCATCTATAAAATACATATCTTGATGCCATATACACCTCTGTTATCAAAATGTATTATATATCCTCTAAATAACTTTTATCTAGGCTGAGGCTTAACTTTAGGATAAATGCCAACTGATAAATGCTGTAGATAATTTACTTTGGCTTAACAAAATTGAAAATATTTATTTTTTTTTTTTAATTTTTAAATTTTAAAACTGGCCAATTAAAGTATCTAATGATTTACCTCATAACAAATTTTCAACGGGACTAAACTAGATCAAAATGCTTAATATGCACCATTTTCTCAGTCTTACATCACTTACTTTCATTTTCCAATCACAGGTAAGCCTACTTGCTACCTAGCAAATTTAAATAAAAATAGATATCACAATTCAATATAGACATCACACATGCTCTTTTAATAAGTCTATGCATTAGTTAACTCACAAACAACAGAAAACAACCTAAAACCTGAAACATACTGAATCATCTACCTCTGTTTCTTAAAATGTCTCCCAAAGTTGTAGACTATATAGTCACTGTAGCGTATTTCAAGGTTTAAACAGAAGTAGTAATGCAGATACACCCAATCATTGAATCCTGTCTGTCCTGCTGTATTCTATGGGTCTGGAGGTCAATGGGCCCTCAAGTAGACAGCAGTCAGCCACTGCTGAGATAGCCTATCATCAGCACTGGATAATGAAAACAGATGGGACAGTAAACCTTAGAGCAAATTGAATAGCTCTCCATAGATTTGTTCACACTGGGGAAAAACTTGGACTGGAGAAGTGTCCAAACTTGCATCCTTAGATTGCCAGATTGCATTACCATGATTTTAAATGCCAGAGGGTCTCTCTTTATTCTGGATGCCCGAGAGTGAAAGCCCATCCAGTTTCTGTCTAAAAAAAGTTCTTGTCTGAACACGTGGAAGTCTGCACTATAGAGTTGTACAGGTTGAGCAAGTACAGAGGCAGAAGTCCACTACCATTCTTAGACTGATCAAAATCAATAAAAGGAATAAATAAAAATAATTAACAAATTAAAAATATCCTAAATTGCACTATTTTAATGCTTTCACACGTTTAATACACTTCAGTTGTCTAAACAATGGGATAATATTGAAAATGTAATAGTTGATTTTATGAAACTAATCTGAACTAAGCCACAAACGTACAGTAGTTATCTTATCTTAGCTTTATTTAATGGTCCTCATGCTGTAATATCTATCACCATGTGAACGTTTTATATTGATTTTGACTCCACTGTGCAGGACTGTTGTTCAAGTTATATATGTCGAATAAAGATTTACTGAAAGTTTGTCCTCCTTTTTTGCCACATTTGCAGTGAACTTTCGAATTCCCATCAAATACCATGTCCCTGATGCTTAATTTTTTGGTATTTAGACAATGGGGATACATGTATTGCCATTTAAACAAGAATGAGATGGAGGGAGGCAACCAAACAGAAACTACAGGTCATCTGTAGTATCTCTTTTAATTAATTATGGCTGTGTTATCTACTACAACTGAAAAGTAGATAATTAATAAACCCAAAACCCTTATAATGGTCCAAGTCATCAGAAAAAGTGGATCTGTTCTTATTACGTAATTAAGTATGAAATGGGATTAATAAGACAAAGGTTGCTACTTATCACATATATGTTGACAGGATTAAGGAGGTACTGCTGCCATCTGGCCGTTAATTGCGAAACTGACACTCATTGTGACACGTGCGTGTTTGAGTGTTTATATGCGATTGCTTTCTTCTCTCTCTCTCTCTCACTTTCTGCTTGTGTATATGTGTGGGTGTGATTATCTGCCTATGTACGAATGTGTGTGTGTGTGTGTGTGTGTGTGTGTGTGTGTGTGTGTGTGTGTGTGTGTGCGCGCGCGCGCGTGCAATTGCATGTATACACATGCTTTCCCAACTTTAAAGCCACTTCATCACTGAAACACAACTCCTTTCAATCTATCAGTAACAGATTTACAGTTTATCAAACATATCCCACATAATCTGATCACTTCTTACAGCTCACAAAGCATCAAGCCAGTCAGGAAGGTACCCTCACCTCTAAAAGTTCATAATGGCATTATCTTATTATAAATACCATATCAACATTCCCTTCAACCTTTTTCCTTAAAGCTGATTTCATCACTACCCACTTAGTGAAGACCATTCAGCTTTTAGCAGTTTGTCCAATAATTGTCTGATCCTTTCACAATGACTGCTAACATTTGGTTCAGAGATATGATACATAATAACAATACCTTGGGGTGTGTAATCTGTTTGCCTATTATCTTACAGTGTGCTTCATATAACTGTATCTTAATTCCTAAAGTGGATGCTGACCTTATGAAGCCCATACAATTTAAGTTTGCTATATTGAATGGTCATTTTGGATACTATAAACCTTTACCTACCAGAATTGTGTGAATGCCTGATCTAATAGAATTTTGTTGGCAAAACATTAGAAGATTAAGAAGATTAATTAGATAAACTTCAGATATGCTTGGCCATACCAAAAGTAATAAGAACAACTTTATCATAAATGCTGGCTTATCCTCTTTGCATACTATCCACAGCTTAAAAAGAAATTCAGAGGACACAGAACCAAGGATGCTCAACGTTCACTGTTATAACTGTCAGATAAAATACAGTGCCAAATGACACTATATCTGTCACTCCATCAGTCCCAGTGTCTGTATTTGTCTTATCAAAGTCGGCCAATTCAAGCAGATCTGCATCACTATTTGCTACACAGGTTCTGTACAAACATAAATCCATCTAGTGAAAAAAATCTGCAAGAAAAACACAGGTTCATAAAATCATATCTTTAGCTCTCAGGCCCCAAATCAGCATAACCAATCATCTCTCCTATATCTAATAAATTATATGCTGCAGATAGAAAGAAATTTGGTTTTATCCAATTCTTAAAGCTTTCAATTCTTCTACAGGCCCTCTAGGAGCATTGTGATTCTCTGTTTCAAGATATGTACAAGAATATAATAGAACAAGCTGAATTCAGACAGAAACAGTCCAATACACGGCTATACAGGCCCTGCTGGGGCATATTTGTACATCCATCATCTTCACATACAAAAGACTATGTAATTTAGCAGAGGATGAAATTTATGCTACACAGTTTCCTGCTTTTTGCCTTTTCATGCAGATCTTTTCAGATGAATCTCAGATACAGATCTGCATTTATTAGGCACAGAGCAGGAAATGTGTAGCCTAGCGTGGTGAATGAAGGCTTGGAGCGCCAACTGGTTGGATAATTACTATAGGAAAAACAATCAATGACCACTGAACATGGTGCAGTGTAGACCAAAATATCAAGACAAAAATGCAACACATTTATCTAAACAAACTGGAGACATATAGACTGAAGGGTTTGGGCTTGAAGGGATGACTTAACGAAATATATCAAAATTTACCATTATATCAGAAACATTCTCTAAATAAGTTAACTAAGTATACATTTGAAAGGCTCTAAACATGTGCCCAAGAACAGAAAAGTCACCTTTTAATGTGCCTCACACAAAAAACTCCTAATATATTATCCCAGCTTACTGATTTACATGTCTAGCCAACAAATGGAGTAAAAAAAGACAATTCACCAGACTAGACAGGTCAGGTGGGGAAAAAAAAGTAGACTTCTCACATTGTCAAAATACCCAAGCAATTTCCTTTTTACCTTTAAAAAACTGCACTCAGATTCACCTCTCTCTAGAGATCTCCCAGTGCCAGGCCCATTCATACACCTCCTGTCTGTCTTTGTTTACTCCTTCCCTCTTTCTTTTTATAAACTCTTCTGCACTTAACTTATTACTAGAGCAGTTCTAAAGTAACCAGCAGAGGAGACTGTTGGAATCTTACTTCAAACAAACTCCCCTCTCCATTCATGTTCCCTCACAGGGACTGAGTCAAAACAGCAAATGTAATCTTGGGAGGTTAAAGGGTGCACATCATAGCAGAAATGTCTACACCAGATATAAATTAATAGGCTGAATGAAGAGGGGAAAAGTCATCACTTAAGACAGCTTACAGCTGTCAAATATATTTCGCAGACTGATTTTTTTCAAATCTAAATGAGATAACATACTTCAAGAAGTCAGATAATAAACCGAGAATGGTGAAAGGGTGCAACTGATACCATAAATTTTTGGTCTACATTTAGATCCTGCCACTTCAAACAAACCATCTTCTTTCAAGTCTATAAAACTAATGTTGAATTGTCAAATACTATTCAAACAGATGAATAAATGAATGAATGAAAAAAAAGAAGAATGGAAGGAAGGAAGGCATAAAGGAATGAAGAATAGCAGGAAGGACAGATTATACAAAAATCTCTCTCCAAATTGCTGCCTAAAACAAATACCAATTGGGAATGGGCAAAAGTTCAATTCAGTGACGAGTCTATGAAATATGACATTAAAACACTTCTACCATATCTTCTAACTTTTTGTTATAATCAAAGCAAACCTGATAACACCATATACTGAATTATTCATCAAATCTTCTCCAATGTACACTCTTGACATGCTCCCTAACCATTACATTGAACCAGAGAAACAAACTGATAACCAAGGCCTCAGTGGGTCTGGCATTCCTGGTGCAGGCTTCATTGAGAGAATACTTTTTGCAGTGATAAATGATAGATAGGTTACTCCAGGAGGTTTAGAAGTCTTACATGTTGATATAAGGTATAGAATATCAGAAAACCAATATTAAGTTCCTTCAGTTGGGTTATGTATGACTACACAGATGGCTAAAAACAAGTATACGAGATTCTCTTGTTGTTATAACTTATCTGATATAGAAGTGATAAAGATGGTGGAAAGGGGTAGACATATATTGCATTATTAATTTGCTGTATCACAGAGTTAATGTTTAATGAGTGTGCCCCTCCAAAAAGGAAGTTAAACTTATTGATTTGGTTTGCAGTAAATATTCCCACTGTACTGATTCATGTGATGATTTCTAGTGCTACATGCACTCAATCTCAAGTGCAAATATTTCCTGCCATCTGATATGGTACTTTCACATAAAGAAAAGTATATCTGTCACAAAACCCTCCTCTTATTAGTTTGTTCAACTTCCCATATGAATAATTTATTCTCCTATCTATCCTGGTAAAAAGGCAAACAGACAAGACTTCTGCTAAATATTTGTCTAATCTTAGAAACAGAAATAAAAAAAATTACAACTTTCACAAAATCAAATCAATTCAAAGCAACTCACCAAAATCCAACAGAACTTCACCTCTTTCAGATTTTTCTTAACGTCTCTCCTCGGCTGTCAACAGTCCCTGAAATCAAAAGATGTCAATGTGTAATGAGTGTTGCCCTATAGATCTTCCTACTTAGTTCAAAGTAAATACCCACAAGGACAGTACCACCCTTTCACACTAGACACAATCCAGTCTGTCTGGACTTGTTAAAACTTCAATACACTACATAATCACGTAATCACGTTCACAAATCTCACTCCGAGATCTGCACTAAACCAGGTCAATATGGATAGTGAGGGTATTTTGTATTGTAATCAAGCTAGTGGCCACATAGCATTCTTCCAAACAAAAAATGGAAACAAGAAATTTAAACTGTGTTGGCACTGGATTACAAGTCACAACTATTTATCATTTAGACCAACTTGATTCGGTCTGCCTTGGTGTCTTGAGTGAACACGGTCCAGATCTGCCCTTGTTAAACTTCAACACTCACTGTTGTCTACCATAACCCTGTTAAATGTTTACTGCTACCCATTCTTGTTGCTACCCATAAAACACTGTAATCTCTTTAGAAATAATGACCACAACATGAACACTAGTACCTTATTATTGAAATTATTCCAGATAGAAACTAGTTATGCAACAAACACACTATAAAGGAAATGAATGTGGAAGCCAAGGAGTGGGTTGAGGAAGCCTGAAAAATGTTTGAAATAAGAAATTGTGTAAGATGAAAATTAAGACCTATCCAATATTTTACTGTGTTGTGATTATCAAGTGTTTATGAGGCGTACAGTGTTATCAGTTCTCCACTTGAGTCTTATCACAGTGTGCTAATGGCTAACTGTAAGGGACAATACAGGATATGGTTTACACTATGTATATCATTGACTAGATTATGCTGAGGGTACAGAACTTTGAAGGCACATACCAATATATAACTCCATGTTCTCTCTCTCTCTCTCTGAAAATCAGTGTATTTCACAAGTTTGTTGGCCACTGATCTGTGATAACCTCAGGAGTTCACTTCAATTATAATTTGAGATATATATTTATGTAGTAGACAGGAATATTCCTCTATCATTAAAATCCATACCCAATCTGTGTAACAGTCAATAAACACCAGAACAAACCACTGTTACATGTTGAAAACTTCCCTATTTTAAACACCATTTACTTGTACTCACTGCAATCAAACCTTTCAGCAATTATCTACCAAACTACATCATCATCATCATCATCATCATTAAAGGAAGTCTGCCTACAGAACTCTTAACTCCTAGATCTAAGCCGTATTTTCCTCCATCGTTTTTGTGCACATATCTCCACGGTAACACAAGTCTGTAGTGACATGAAGAGTAGTAATGCTGTAAAGACAGATAACAGGCTGACAATACAGCTTACCCTTCACAACTGTCAGACAGCAAGCACTTGTAGTAAACCAACACCAACTTTTGTTTGGGTCAGTTCAATCAGCACTGTGATATACACCACAAGTAGGTGTTGATTAATGACTCTTTTTCTTTTTGCTTTTCTTTTTTGTTCTGAAACAATTCAGAAGTAAAACTCCACTTAACTGTCAATTTGTCATCTGTTTCCGGGGTTCATATATCTTTCAATAATGGACATCTAAATCTTTGCTAATCATGATTCTTTAATTCTTGTATTTTATAGCCCCTCCCAATGTAAACAACCATAACACAGAAGAGGCTGATAATCAACAAATAAAAACTGTACCTCGCCAACTAAACAAGCCACTTAATCATCATCTTCAGACATTTTCTCAACATACGTCTCAACAAACAAACCACATCACCAACAGAGGAATATCTTCACTGTGTATATCACCATTTAATTTCATACACGGCACGGAAATTAAGACAAATTTCAGTGGACGTCAAACTTATCTTCACTTTCCCAGCATATCTGGCCGTGTATCAGTGTTATTTTTACCTTCATGGCCCCTGATAACTGGCAAGATAACTGTACTGCTACAGGAACAAAGGGAGGACCAAAATCAGTACAAACACCTACAGTATCCACCCAACTGGCTACAACTACTGTTGTTGTAATACAGGAGCAATAATTGTAATTTGATTGTTGATGAGAATACCTAAATATTATATGTATCTTCACATTCACATCACGTGTTATCTATATTGCTGTGCTAAAATAGATCTGAAAAAAAAAAAATTTTTTTTTTTCACAACAACCACATCGATTACTAGGCCCAAGTTGCTAGCCACCATTCACAAGTGATAGGATATGCTAAAATATAACAATCAGAGAATACAAGAGTGTCTACTTCCAACAATTATAAAACGCTCCAGAAATTTTTGTTCTCTGTTCCTCACATTACCGAATATCCGAATTAATGAGATGATTTTTACAGACAAGAGCATCATCAACTTCAAACAACTCATCGTCTATTGTTATGCGATGTACACAAGCTGCTTTGATTAGCAAATGAACATCAACATTCACTTAACATACCGACCTTATAACTGGTTATATAAATGGTACAATCAAGGTAATTCAAAGGCTTTGTAATCTTTTCTGATTGCTAATGACGAGACAGACCACCAAGAGACTTGGAAATGTATCAGTTATATCGATTCTCATAATACTGCTTTCAAGCTAAAAAGCATCACAGCTATGAAAGTTTCAAACTCATGTACAGCCATTAGTTTTCAACAAAGAATATTATACATTTTTTAACAAAAAACATTTTTCCTATCATCTTTCCTTCATAATGAAACTCAAAGCCAGCTAAAACTTCTGTCATGATTGTGTAACTTTGACATAAAAATGCTTTATGTCGTAGACTCAGTTCTATTGTTATCTTTGGCCTGGAAATATCAATAGCTCAAGATCAGTAACAAATCTCGAACTTTTACAAACAACAATATTTTACCTTCTGGAAAGCAGGTACAGTGTTGAAGAAAAGTCAAGCATCTACTATTAAATTGGTGTAGTACAATAAGTAACACAACCAGCACACACATAAAAACTCCTCTCTTCCTCGCTCAAATCCTGTAGCAGCCAGAAGTTGACAAGAATACAACACGGGACAGGGACAGCACTGGATGAGTGATATTGTGAGTGTCACCCTGTCGCCACGCCAGGCTACAGCTCAGTGGCTTCACCTCAATTATGCCATGCATACCAAGCAGCCAGCACAGGTTAGCACGGGGCAGGTGACAGCCGAGCTTTAACGGGGAGATGGGGGCGTGAGATAGGACAGAGGTGACCCATCTTCTTTTAACTTATTATAGTCTGGGTGTGGATTAGAATATGACACTCCTTTTAACTGACACTGATGGGCGGCTTGCTTTTTCTTTTCTTTTTTTACTCCTTTGAAGTTTTTTTTTTCCTCTAGTATGTCTCATACAAGGGAAAATTTGTCTCTAACAAGAGAAAATGATCAAAAGGGGGAAGAACTGAGGTTTTATGAAACAATACTCCCCTTCAAACTGTATTTATAATAAGAATAAAAAAAACAAATGTAAAAAAAATTATCAGATGTTGGAGTCAGAGAGAAAACCACATTAGACATATTTTAAGTAAAATATGTCTTAAAATAGATCAAACTATGCTGTACTTTTTATTTTTGAAACTAAGGAATCAAACAAACTGGTAACACTTTCTGTTTTCATGAATACAAACTGTTATATCCACTCACCTTACTTCTTCAAACAACTTTCCTCTATCTGCCTACTTGCAAAAATCACCCACAACAAATATGTATAAAAAGAACAATTAACATTCTATAGACTCCACACTGCTACATCCTGGTTTAAAGACTAAAAGACAAACAATTCAACCTGCATGCATCACTACGTCCTGGTATCCTATTAGCTTCTAGTATTTCATTTCCTATCACATATCCCAGAGAGAGGATTTTTTCACTAATTAGCATTATGTCATCATAACATGACAACTTCAAGTATATTACATGTGATGCCATTTCCTAAGCTCGTTACTCAATTTGGAAAAATACCTACTACTCTAAATTTTGAATCATCCATTTACATTTGCATTACTAATCAACTAAAAAAAACGACAAAATTTTGCTATACAATTACCTTATTTAACTGTTTATGGTCACTTACTTGGAATGGTTCCAGATATATGTGTTCAGGCTCCAATCAGCATTTTATATCATCATGATCAAAATCAATCATTAACTAGCTGATACATAACCCAGCTTCTGAAGCAGTACCTATATAACATTGTTTTAGACATCGGATACAGACTTAGATCCAATGTAACAGTTCAGGGTTATTCCCATGGTTTATTTGTATTATAACCTTTTTTTTTAGAAGAGGAGTAATTCTGAGTTTCACTTTCTATTCATCTGGAAATCTTACATTTCACCCTCACCTTCACAGTGAACAGAGGCATGCCCTTACATTTCAATACATATTTGTCACATCTTATTAATTCCTAGGGGGAATTGTTTCATCACTTTTTGGGCTGAATTCATACCCAATGCTTTCAACTATAGACAGACCATCTTAGTCATCGCAGAGGTACGGAACTAAGTTCAATACATTTAGTGCATAGTTATTGGACTGGTCAGTTCTGCTTTAATGACCACTACTTAGTCAGCACTGAATTTTGACTACTTGTCAATATTTGCTTGTACATGAATAATGAATACAGGACAATACAGAATACATGATGCTAGGTATCTTTCTGGCGATCTTCTGGAATTTTTTTATTTTCTTCACATACAATCTTTTTTTTTTTTTTTTNGTTGGATAATTAATGGAAAAAGGTTAAAATAATGGGAGTCATTTCTGAAATTGGGTACTTAATGGATTAAGGGGTAGCAAAAGGGTTAGTTGGCCTGAAGAATAGAGCAAGCTCATTCTACGCTAAATACACAATGAACCACGGATTCTCATTTACCTTATAAAAATTAAGCAAACCGAGTTCATTAGATCAGATCAAAAATAGAAGTATTGCATTGTGACTCTAATCCTTCATGTAATTATCCTTTGGCAAGTGAATAAAAGCAAAATTTAATCAAATCAAAATTTAGTCTTTCTAGATTGTAACACACTGGTAATACA